GAATTTTGTTTCAATAAACTTGAAAACTTATACAACATGGACAGACTCCTAGAATGATAATTTATCATACTGACTTGGACAGAGGAAGAAAGACCTTATAAATCTGTAATGACCAACATGGTTACTGTTAGTTAATGTGACTTTTGACACTTGAAACATGGCTAGTGTAACTGAGGGGCTAAATTTAAATTTTATCTAATTTTTAAAAAGATTTTATTTATTTATTTGAGAGAGAGAGAGCGTGAGTGGGGTGGAAGAGCAGAGGGAGAGGGACAAGCAGACTCCATGCTGAACGCGGAGCCCAACTCAGGGCTTGATCCCACCACCCCAAGATCATGACCTGAGCTGAAATCACGAGTTGGCTGCTCAACCAACTGAGCCACGCAGGCGCCTCATTTTTATCTAATATTTTTTTAAATTTTATTGTTATGTTAATCACCATACATTACATCATTAGTTTTTGAGGTAGTGTTCCATGATTCATTGTTTGCGTAGAACACCCAGTGCTCCATTAAGTATGTTCCCTCTTTAATACCCATCACCAGGCTAATCCATCCCCCCACTCCCCTCCCCTCTAGAACCCTCAGTTTGTTTCTCAGAGTCCATAGCCTCTCATGGTTCGTCTCCATTTTAAATAATTTAAATTTAAATTTAAAAACTGGAACAGTGTAAAAATATTTTTCTGTTAAGCAAACTTGACTCTTTTGCTAGGACCATATTTCACTTTAACTATTGCATCTTGTAAGGTATTATTATTGCATTATAGTGTGTGTTGGATGTGTGTATCATTTCTAGTATTGCACATAAACACATCACTGATCTTGTTGATATTTTTTCTATGCACAGATATATTGTATTTATTTGAATATTTTATGAAGACATAAAATGAGAATATGATTTACCTAATGATACATATGTATGTCATAATTGAATGTTTATTACTTAGTTATAATATTAAAAAAATATTTATTTATTTAGGGGGGAGGGGAAGAGGGAGAGAGAAACTCCATGCAGACTCCATGATGGAGCCTGACGCGGGACTCAATCCCAGGACCCCAAGATCATGACCTGAGCTGAAATCAAGTTGGAGCCTTAACTGACTGTGCCACCCAGTCACCTCAATTAAACTACTTTTCTGGTTAAAAAATAAGCATAAACAAATTTTTGAATTTACAGTAAAGGCATACTTTGATGCAGATTTGAGTGATGATATAGAAGCTAGTACTTTGACTGGAACAGTAAGGAAAAAAAGAGCCTGGAAGAAAGTACATCACAAATATCATGATGCCTGGCAATTTCAATTTGCTATGGCAGAGGAAACCCCCAAAGCCATTGACATGTGATGATGCCGCTGCTCTGTGACATTTGTGTTGTGTATTCTTGTGTTTTTAACATTTCTGTTTTCATTTCTAATAGGTAAATATGGATAAATATATCTGACAAAAAAGTCCTTTGTGGTCTTCAATCACTGTAAAAGTGTAAATCAAAATGTTTGAGAACTCCTGAACCAGGGCATAGAGAACGCAAAGTGGAATGTTATTATGGTATTGGGAACTAGCATTATTCATTAGAACATTTTAAAATGAGGAATGACCTTGGACATTTTTTTTTTTAAGATTTTATTTATTTATTTGACAGAGAGAGACATAGTGAGAGCAGGAACACAAGCAGGGGGAGTAGGAGAGGGAGAAGCAGGCCTCCCGCGGAGCAGGGAGCCCGATATGGGGCTCGATCCCAGGACCCTGGGATCATGACCTGAGCCGAAGGCTGACGCTTAACGACTGAGCCACCCAGGCGCCCTGACCTTGGACATTTTTAACTGGCCTTAACTTAAAAGAAAATTCCATCTTCTTTCCCAATACCTCTCTTTCATCAAGGTCCTCAGACCGCAGTACCTCACTTGATCTATTTTACTGGATCTTAGGACTAGAAGACTCTAATATTTAGGCCCTTCTCTTCTTCATCCACATCCGGATTGACCTATCCTGTGTTCAGTTTCCCAGGGCCCCTGGTGTTAGTGGATATAAGGATTAATGAGGAAGCTTTCACAGGAAATAATTTGCCTTTTTAAAAAAGATTTTATTCTTTAAACAATCTCTCCACCCAACATGGGGCTCGAACCTACAACCCCGAGATCAAGAGTCACATGCTCCACCAAGTGAGCCAGCCAGGTACCCCCTAATTTGCATTTTTTTAACAGATGACTTTCGAAAACACAGTCACTTCATTCAGCAGAGTTATTATTTTGGAAGTTGGAGTAGGTAGAAATCCACTATGAATAGTCTGAGAATCCCTACAGACTGAGCCATGGACTCTACAGGGTTAATGCATAAGGTTCCTTGGAATGACAGCAGCAAAAGGCAATTTCCATTGCAGCTACAGCACTCTGGGGACTGTCCAACTCGGATGCTGCTCAGCATCCTCCTCTGGCACTGATGAACCTAACGTTTTCAGTGGTCAGTGGTGTGGCTGGTGACTGAACTGGATTATAGTTTTATAGCCTCTGATAGTTATCCACAATGCCTCCCAGGTAAGAGGTGGCCTTTTGAAAACATGAGGCTCATGGACACAGATTTTATTTCATTTATTTAAATTTAAGATGCTTAAGGGACATTCCTCTGCAATGGTTTGTTTTCAATTCCATTCTTCTCTTTTTCAAATTTAAATGGTACTATCCTCTATCTTAAAATAGGTTTTATTTTTTAGAGCAGTTTACATCCACAGCAAAATTAAAGTATAGCGAGTTCCCCATATACATTCTGTCCCCATGAACACACACAGCCTCCCCCACTAGCAATATCCCACACCACTGGGGTACATTTGTTACCACCGATGAATCTATATGACACATCATAATTATCCAAAGTCTATAGTTTATATCAGCGTTTACTCTTGGTTGTACATTTGACATGTATCCACCATCACAGTATCATACAGAACGGTTTTACTGCCCTAAAAAATCATCTGTTCTCTGCCTTTTCATCCCTCTGCCTCCCCAACCCCTGGCAATTAATGATATTTTTACTCTCTTCATAGCTTTGCCTTTTCCAAATGTCATATAGTTGGAACCATACAGTATGTCGCCTTTTCAGAGAGGTATCCTCTTTTATGATTTCTTTTCTTCCTTCTAGACTGCTCATACTGGCCTCAGAAACAGATGGTGGTTGATAAATAAAATGAAAAAGCAAGCTACTAAGTGTAGCCTGGGGAACTCTTGCATAGCATCACATAGAGTGATAAAGCCCTGAGGTAGGGAAGAAAAGAGAGCACTGTGGTTAGAGAACAGTGTTTAGAGGGTGGCAGGCAAGCCTTGGAAAGAGAATCAGGGCCTACAGCTTGTGCTGGGTTTTGCAGGTCTGGCTAAGGCATTTGAGTTTCCTCAAAGTGCAATAGGAAGCTATTTGGAGGGTTTTGAGCAGAGTAATCTGATCTCATTTACATTTAAAAAATGACACTCTGAGAGGGAGAAATGACTGTAGGTGGATGCAAGGAACAGTCCCTCTCCCCAGTTAGGGAACTATTACAGTAGCCCAGGCAAGAGGTGATGGTCATTTGGTCTAGAGTAACAGCAATGCTGATGGAGAGAAGGATAGAAATTGAAGACATACGAAGGTAGAACAGCTCAGCTTTGTTAATGGATGGAATAGGGTATAGAAGGCAGAGAGACACACACACAGAGGACAGAAGAAATGCAATTTGCTGGTTTCAGGAACTGGCAGATTTGCCAATATAGTAAAGACTGAGATGGGGAAGCAACAAGTGTGTGTGTGTGTGTGTGTGTGTGTGTGTGTGTATAATGGATTTGGGGGGTGGCAGAAGGAGTGTGGCACATGTAAAAATGTTTTACACATTACATTTCCCCCAACATTTTATTTTATTTATTTATTTTTTTTTTTAAAGATTTTTTATTTATTTATCTGAGAGAGAGAATGGGAGACAGAGAGCATGAGAGCGGGAGGATCAGAGGGAGAAGCAGACTCCCCGCTGAGCAGGGAGTCCGATGCGGGACTCGATCCCGGGACTCCAGGATCATGACCTGAGCCGAAGGCAGTTGCTCAACCAACTGAGCCACCCAGGCGCCCCTCCCCCAACATTTTATACTGGACATGTTCAAAGAGCAAATTGGAAAATAATTTTATGAATACCCATTTATAAGATCTACTTCTATCCATTTATCCATGCCATCAGCCCATCTTACTTTTGTAATACATTTCAACTGCAGACATCAATGCTCTTCCCTCTGCATACCTCAGCATACATATCCTTTATTTCCAGTTTTTTCTTTTGATGTAAAATTTATATACAAGGTGAAATGCACAAATCTTAAGTGTGCATTCACTGAGTTTTGACACGTGCATACATACACCTATCCACATCTTAAATTTAAGATGCTTAAGGGACATCAAGGGGGCATAATCAAAAGGGTTGCCGAGAGTGGGATTCTGGAGCTCAGAGAGGTCTCGGTTTGAAATGCAAGCCTCAGAACACGTCTATTTAAGCTACGGGATTGGATGAAATAACCCAAAGGGTGTAGAGTGAAGAGAAATGGGCTCTACCCTCAAAGAGCCCAGCGTTTAACGGTCTGTTGGGAGGGTGGGGGGCGGGAGGAGAGCGGAACTTGTGGGGAGGTCAAGGGTTGGCTCTGCCGGGGGTCTCGAAAGGCCGGTCTGTTCGGCGCCTCGGGGCGGTCCTTGGTAACCATCCGAGGTGACCTGAGGTGTCACGGGAAGTGGGGGGGAATGAGGAGGGGGACATGGAGGGAAATCCCAGTCCGAGACGGGAGGTCGGCTTGGAGGGGAGGGAGGAGGGGAAAGAGGAAAAAGGACTTGGGGAGGAGAGAACGGGGAAGGGGGGCAAGGGGACGTAGACAAGAAGCCAGAACCGAAGGGAAGAGGAGCGGCGGCGGCGGCGGCGGCGGCGGCGAAGGGGCGGAGTTGCCGCAGCGGCCGGCCGCGGGGCGGGCGGAGGGAGGGGGTGTGTGCGCGGGTCACATGGTCGCAGCTGCCCTCCCCATCAGCCGCCCTCGCCGCCGCGGTGCGCTGGCTGCAGGAAGCCGCCGCGCCGCCGCTTTTGTTGTCGGGGACTCCGCGAGGAGCGCCGCTCGCCGGCCGCCGCCGCCCTCTCTCACTGCAGCCCGCCCTCAGGCCGCGGGGCCCGGGTTCCGGGCGCCCCGCCCGCCCTGCCCATGAGGGGGCCCCGCGACCACCGCTGCCTCCAGCCTGGGGCGGCGCGGCGCTGAGGCGGAGGCGGCGCTGCCACTTCTGCGGGAAGCGGGCAGGCTCGGTCCCTTCCCGGAGGGCACCATGGAGGTGAATGCGGGTAAGAGCCGGATTGCAGAGGGTGGGGGCACGGCGGAAGGGGCGCTCGGATCCGGTTGGGGCACTTCGGGCGGCGGCGGCGGGGGGTGACCCCAGGACTGGTGGCGTGGGCTGCTGCGCGGTGCGTATAGGCTCGGGCTCGGTTCCTGCGTCGCCCCCCGGGCCTCTCCACGGCCGCCCTCCCGGCTTCCTGGAACGCCGCAGCGCGGCCCGCGGCGCCGGCCCGGCCCCCCCCTCACATGGCTGGGCCGCGCGAGCCACGTGCGCGCTGTGTTTACGTTCCGCGGCGCACGGGCGCCGGTTGGCTGGGCGGGCGCGTGACGCGGCATTACATAATGGGCGCTGAGGCGGCGGCGGCGGGCGGGGACACGTGAGGCCGTTCGGCTCGGTGACCCATATTCCCTGGGGCCGCAGGGACACGTGGGGGCGGGTGCGCGCGCGCGCCGGCGGGGAGCGCCGCAGCCTCCCGGGAGGCCCCGCCCCTTTGGAACCCTCCGGGCTGTGACGTGGCCGCGATTCCCTCCTCCCCCGCGGGGTTGCACATTGCGGCGGAGGCCGCGCGTGCGCGTGCTGGACCCTGCGCCCGGGCGGTCCCGAAGTGGGCGCGGACGCCGCAGTGCACCGGCTGCCGCCTTACGGTCGGGGAGGTGACCTCGACGCGCAGAGCCGGGGCCAGGCAGACTGCTTGGGCCCCAGACCTTGCGGATACTGAGGAAGAAGTGCGGGTTTCTTGGGGAAGACTCGGTGTTTCCCCAAAGCGAGACCCCTCGGAGCTCTGAGGAGCTTAGATCCTGAGCAATGCCTGGTAGCTGGGACGGCACCTGCCCTTGTTATGATGCTGCTTCAGTATTTCCAGGAAAAATGGTTGCTCTAGGACGTGACCTGTCTTACACACGGTCATAAAAAAGGCTCGAAAATCCCCTCGGGCTGGGAGCCTATAGGCACACCCATAGCTGATCTTTCAGCTCACGTAGGGTCGGGATGACTCAGGTGATCCCAAGTGACCCCGAGACTTTATGAAAGACTGGTCATTGTTTATTTAAATTGATTTTTTAAAAAGATTTTCTTTCTTTCTTTATTTGACAGAGAGAGACACAGGGAGAGAGGGAACACAAGCAGGGGGAGTGGGAGAGGGAGAAGCAGGCTCCCTGCTGAGCAGGGCGCCCGACGCGGGTCTCCATCCCAGGACCCTGGGATCATGACCTGAGCCGAAGGCAGACCCTTAACGACTGAGCCACCCAGGCGCCCCTAAATTGATTTTTTTTTTAAACGCATTGGTTGCTGACCTTTCTTGAACCCGATCCACAGAATTTGGCTTTATCAATATTTTTCTAGTTATATTTCCTGTTACAATGTCACGGAACAGTACTGTGCTCCCTTCTCGCCTTTTGCCTGCCCTTAATGATGGCCCTTACACCTGAGGCCAGTGAGGTTACAGAAGAAGCTAGTTTGTGATGAGCTCTGAGTGTTATAGGCAACTGATAAATTATTGAACACTACGTCTGAAACTAATGATGTACTATATGTTGGCTAATTGAATTTAAATTAAGAAAAAGAAGCCAGTTTATATTTTTTAAGTTATTATATGCACTTTTTAAAAACGATAGCTTGGAAACAAATGTGCTGTGAGTTTTCCACCAATGTAAAAATAAAGACATTTTCTAACTGTGTTTTAATTACCTCTGGGTCTCCTTAGCCTTTGAGGGCATTTTTAAAAATTGGGTAATCTGTCCTGGAATTAAATTTTTGCTTGATAAGAATGTAGAGATTATTAGGGTCAACCTTTTTCAACCTAGCTTTTATTTATTTATTTTTTTTCAAGTTTCTTCTTTTTTTTTTTTTTAAAGATTTATTTATTTATTTGAGAGAGCGAGAATGAGAGAGAGTACATGAGAGGGGGGAGGGTCAGAGGGAGAAGCAGGCTCCTCGCTGAGCAGGGAGCCCGATGCGGGACTCGATCCTGGGACTCCAGGATCATGACCTGAGCCGAAGGCAGTCGCTTAACCAACTGAGCCACCCAGGCGCCCCAACCTAGCTTTTAGCATGAATGAATTCTTCCAGATTTGTAGCCTTGTAAGGTGGGCTAGCTCAGGAGGCTAGAAAATTTTTGTCTGGTTTGAACCTTCCTGGAACAGTATCACTGATTTTAATCTTGCCTTTTGGAGCTACAGATAATAAAACTTCCTTTGGATCACTGTTGAACATACCGCTCCAGTTCTTCCATTTTCAGTTCTCATTACTTGGTCCTTGCTCAGTGTTGTTTTGATCATCATCCTTGTTGCCCTTTGGGCTGTAGCACCCAGAAGTGAACAGACTCCTGTGGAAATGATTGGATAGTTACCAAGTTCCAAGTTTCGGATTCTGCTGCAAATGAATTCTCTGGCAGGCTCAGCTTTTGTGGCTTACTGGCTTTGCTGACTCACAGTAACCTTGCAGTCAACTAGGACCTTTACATGTGAACTATTTTGAAGCTAGGTTTCACCCATTGTGCAGATAATTGACCTGAAGTGTAGGAATTTGCAATTATTTTTAAGTTTTCTCTTGTTCCTTTTGGCTCCATTTTCAACCTGTCTCAAGGTGTTATCCAGTACATTAACAATTTCTGCCATATATCTGTTAGAGGGAGCATTGGGAAGCATTCCCTTCAATTTCCCTCAAATTGCAGATGTTGTCTAGGGTGGGGTCAAATTCAGTGCTGTGTGGCTCACCTCTGACCCATCCGTTTGATTGATACTGTATTAGTACAGTGGTGAATACATATTCAACCAGTGACCATTTCATCTAACTTTTATGACATAATTGTGTCTTTACCTTATCCATGACTAATGCAGATATGAAATACTGAAGTGGCAGAAATTGACTATATACGTTTCTGTCACAGATTTTGGGTGAATATACCAGGTTCCTTAAAGTAAATGATAACTCACTGCACAAACTTCATAACATAGCTGTAATTCACATTTTTAAAAATTTGGAAGACGTTCCCACGTAGTTCATTCTTGTTTTTATAACCTGTATTTCTCCTAACTTGGAAATAAAAATGTCAGAGAGCAGTAACAGTAAAGAAGTCAGTTGGAGAGAGAAGCAGCAAGATCATGGGAAGACTTAGAAGTGAAGTAGACTAGTCAACGGAGTTAAGATATTCAGAAGGTGGTGTGGAAATAACCTCCAGGGAAACCACTGGGTCCATTTGACCCACTCAAAATTAAAGGAATGAAGAAAGGATAGGGAGGGTTAGTTTTGTTTGAATTCTTTAGTATGATGGTAAAATAATATTCACCAGTGTCTTTGGAGTACTTACTATGTGCCAGGCCCTTTACATGTGTCACTACTTTGACACCACACTTTAATTCTATGAAGGCAGGTATTGTTACCATTTGAAGATGAAGAGCTAAGTAGATTGAAGTTAATTAACTTATCCAGGCAAGTGGTGCAGCCAGATTTTGAATCCACAAAGTCCACTTGGGGAGCACAAGCTACTATGCTGTATTAGGTCTAAGCCCATATGACATTTGATAGTATATGCACATCTTGGTGGTCTTGTCTTCTTGGGGGTAAAGGAAATAACTGTGCAGATCCACTTGATTTGTAGTGGTATAGGGTCGTAGCTGATGGAAAAGGGGCGGGTGTTAGTAAAGCCTCCTAATCTCCTCATTCCATTCTTTCAATCTTGTTGCTAGTCAAACTGTTTTTCCCCCAGACCCTAGGTTACATTTGTGTCTTCCCTCTCCCCCCTTCCCCCAGTAATTTACATGGAGAGCAAAAACACTATTTTACAAAATAAGACCAGATTTGTTTCGTCATCCCATTTTTTATTTGTTTTCTTAAATCTCTTACATGGTATATCATTTAATAATTTGCATGTTCTTCAAGACCCCACTTATTGTCACTTTAGCTGTGTTTGCCCCTTTTGATCTTTGCCCTCCTGAGTGCTTTTGTGTGATCCTCAGCAGTTCACAGTAAATTTGTATGAAACAGTGCTCGCATTGCACTGGAATGAATGATTAAGACAGCTGTTTCCTCAGTTGGTCTACAAGGCTTTTTAGGGAAGGGACCACGTTGTTCTATGGAGCCCTGACGCTCAGGACACAGTTGGAAGGTTAGTGCTTCAATTAGATCTATTATACCATCCTGTGAGTAGAAATTATTAGTAACCTACTTAAAATGAGAAAACTAAAGCTTCCAGGTGGTAAATATGTTTTGTTCTAAGTCACAAGGCACAGTCATGAGTTGAACTCAAGCATTCTTTCCAGGATGGTGGGCAGTGGGAGTGAGAAGGTTTTGGTGATGGGCAAGCCTAGAATTGGGGTAAGAAACCTCCAATATATGGTGAGCAGTAAGTGTTTCCCAGCAGTATAAAATTAGATATTGACTTCTGGCTTGTCTGAAGTTGACCACTGGGTAAGCCCTAGCCTGGGAACCTGGCCCAGCTCCAGGGATTTTTTTCCAACTAAAAATAGAGAAGACTGCTTCAGCTAATTTTAGCTTGAGGCATCTAAGAAGTACATTCTGCCTGTTTCTGGAAGTGTTGGGACTTGCTGGTTCGGGGATTTTACCTTTCTTGCTTTATCATCAAAAACCATGTATGTAAAAAGCACTTTAATAATCCCCTTTTATGAACACCATTTCGGTCTTGTAATAACTCTAGCAGATATTCCCATTTTATAGAAGGTGACTCAGTTTTAGAGAGATTGAAAGTGGCTTGCTTGCACAGGTCTTCGCAGTAAGAGATAATAGTTTATACTCTGGCCTTGGCCTTCAACCCTGGCCCTGCCACTTAGTAACAGTGTTTATATTAAACCTCTCCAAGCTCTGAGTTCCTCCTATGAAAAATGGGATAATCGAAGTAAATACTTGTGAGGTCAAAATGTGATAGGAAGTTGTGTCACTTTATTCTTGGTATTCAGTAGGTACTTGAGGACTTGCACTTTTCACTTCCCTTTCTTCAATAGGTTGAGGAACTATTAGATGTACTCCTTAACTTTCTAGGAAATTAAAATGTGACTGTTTGGGTTACTAACCATCAGATCAGTAGATTGGTGTCCGGTAGCAAGAGTGGATGCTAAGACAACTAAATCAGTGTTGAAGGTCTTGCTAGGAGCATGTAGCTGCTTCTAGAGGGTCATCTTTGATACCATGATGCCTGGCACAAATGCTTGTTGAGAAGGATTATTAAACTCCCTAAAGATAGGAATTGATATTAACTGGATTGATAGTAGCTCAGTGATTTTTCTTAGGTTTGATTTTGGAGGTTTTGAAAAGAAGGTGCATTTTGGGTAGTTAGTAACAATACCTTCCATTGCTCAGTCAGTGTTTTAAAACAGTTATTAAGCCATTGGGATAGCTCTGATTTCTGCAAGTTTATTTCTAAGGTGAGGTAGTCAGAATATCTTGTGAACATAAGTGGCTCTCTCAAATGCTGGCCCTAAGAAAGTCTTACTTTAAGGAAAACCATCACTTTCTCATCTTTTACTATCTTGAGATATAAGAGAATTTACCACCTAAAGTGGTAGTACTTTAGTAAGGTAAATAGCTGTGAGACGTTCCTTTGGGAGTTTATTGAAGACTAAGAATAATATTTTCCTTTGCATTCTATTCTGAGTGTGTAGACATGTGAAAAAAGTAGCAGTTTGCTAACACCTGGAATTTTTTTTTTTTTTTTTAAAGATTTTACTTATTTATTTGAGAGAGAGCGAGAGAGATCACAGAGGGAGAGGGAGAACCAGACTCACCGCTGAGCAGGGAGCCCGATGTGGGGCTCGATCCCAGGACCCTGGGATCATGACCTGAGCTGAAGGCAGACGCTTAACGACTGAGGCACCCAGGCGCCCCAACACCTGGAATTTCTAATGTGAACTTCAGATCTCTAAAATTTTATGAAAACAGATGGCACAGTGGTTTTACCCAGTAACATGACATTTGCTAGCCTTCCAGTTAAAATTGTTTCTCTCTGGATTCACAGTATATTAAGGGTATTCAGGCAGTTAGTCAATGAAAACATCAACTTTTAAAACTATGAACCAATTTGTGCTTTAATTTGGTGATTGTAGCTATTCTTTTGTGCAAAGAATTGTTTGGGGGAACTTGTTAAAAATGAAAAATGGTCATTCCTGAGGGGTCTTCTCTAGTCTGGGCAGGACCTTGGAAACATGTATTTTGAAAAAGTACCAGGTGGTTCTCTTGATACATATTTTACATAATTTCTCTGGATGATGAGAATAAACTCAAACTTAGGAAGTTTTTCCTCCTTGTGTTTGGAGTTTTAGGAGTTTCAAAATCAGTAGATGAAATTTCTGTTATCAAAATTACCCTTGGTCAGTGGGGCACCTGGGTGGCTCTGTTGGTTGAACATCTGCCTTGGGCTCAGGTCATGATCCCAGAGTCCTGGGATAGAGCCCCGCATCAGGCTCCCTGCTCCACGGGGAGCCTGCTTCTCACTCTCCTTTTGTCCCCCTCCCCACTCATGCTCTCTCTGACTCTCTCTCTCTCTCAAATAAATAATTAAAATCTTAAATTAAAAAAATTACCCTTGGTCGCATTTTCTTCCATTGAGCACAGATAAAGATATTGGCTTGTGATAGTCCCAGTTTTACTGTGTAACTATTTTATTGTGTATCAGTATCACCAAGAGGTTGATTAAAGTTTCTGATTCAGTAGATCTGGAGTGGGGCCTGAGAACTTACGTTTCTAATAGATTTGCAGGTGATGCTCTTGATCTAGGGACCACACTTTGAGAATGACTGGTTTATAGGTGGGAAACACACTGCAGGTCTAATACTAATCATAAAGCTCTGGCTTCACTCTGGGAAGATGATAAGCACGTGCCAAGAGAACATTTGGGAAGTGGGTTAGTCTAGAAAGACCAGAGTCCCACCTCCTACTTCAAGACTGATAGCAGGCATATGTTTAATGAATGGAAAAGTGGATGGAATTCTCCACATATTTATATTTTTTGTCTTTAAAATTCAAGTACATTTAGTTGCATTTATGCATATTAAATTTGTGTATGATGAACACTGTTGTGTTTTTCTTGGCATGGTAGGTGCTGTTTTAACTTCTGGGTTGTGACCAAAATCCGTAAGAGTTACGGTTTTACTTTACTTCTCAGGAACTTCCCATCCTGGATATGTATAATTGGTACTTAAATACATGTCTGGGATCTTATTTCAACAAAACAGACTAAAAGTGACCTAAAATTCTTCTGTCCATTTTTTTCTTCTCTTTTTGTTCTTCTTGTCTTTTTATTCTTTGGAATTGTTTTGGCCTCAGCATTTTGCTGTGTGTGTGTACTTATAAAGTATGGCTTTTATCTAAAAAAAAGATTGGGGAATCATTTTTCATTAACAGAGAAGTTTATTTCAGAGTGAATGCTTAAATTGCAGTTGTTACTTAGGGAATGTGCAGAACTTTCCAGTTATTACTCTGTATAGTTATCTAGATTGTTGTCAGAAATGCCCTGTTTTGCTTGTGACTTTCTAGTAATGTTTTATGATACTTGGGATCTGTCCATATTATTTAAAAAAAAAATTTTTTTTTTTTTTAAGATTTTATTTATTTGCGAGAGAGAGAATGAGAGACAGAGAGCATGAGAGGGAGGAGGGTCAGAGGGAGAAGCAGACTCCCCGCTGAGCAGGGAGCCTGATGCGGCACTCGATCCTGGGACTCCGGGATCATGACCTGAGCCGAAGGCAGTCGCTTAACCAACTGAGCCACCCAGGCACCCTGTCCATACTATTAAACGTGGGCTTCACAAAGGCAGAGAAGTAGGTCTTAAAAATATTTATGGCAGGCTTATTACTTGTAAAGCATGTATAGAAAATTAAGACACACTGTGCACTTAGGTGCTTATAGGCTAGTTGAGAAAGAGATGGAAACAGGTAAACAGTAGGTTTAAATAAGAGCTCAGGACAGTGATAGAAGAGAGATAATTTTACTTTTGTATCTGATGCACATCGAAAAAGCCCATAAATGTTTGTTGATGATAGAGGGAAGAGGAAAAGAAACCACAGTAGATCTTGGCAGAAAAGATGAGAATTAGTTGTTTGGCCTGGGATTTGGAAAAATAATATATTTGGCTATGAGATTATTCTTGCAGCATTTTATGTCTTTGACAGAAGATGTTTGAAATTATACTCTAAGAATAATTTTAAATACTGTTTCTTAACCTGGGAGGTTTACAGTCTCTAAGAGGCCAAGACCAGTTTTCACCAGGGTTGTGGAGGTTATATTGGTGCAGTTGGGGGTAGTGTTTTGAGAGTAGCTCTATGGAGAGAGAATTAGCGTCAGCCTTAATGTTATTCTCTTATAGCATGCATTCTTTCAGCCTCTTTTAACATTTACTGTAAATAGCAAGTCAGAAGAATAGGTGGTGAGTCTGGATTCCTTAAGAGCTGTTTACAGATAAGTGTGTCTGCAAGTCCAGTGGCAGAAGCCCATGGGGAAGGGGGATCGTGGAACTGGTGATTAGTGGGTAGTCATAGAAGTTTTCAGGGATCTTTTAGGAAATATTCTGGGAGCAATAGCTATGAAAGTTCCCCATTTTGACATAAATTATCTGGAGTTCCAAATGTTACATCTGTTCTTGGTTAACCTGTGTTTTAGCCAAGTGCTGGGGGAGGCAAATGAACTCATTGTTTGTAGGATTGTGTCACTATAATGAAGGAGGCAAAGAGAGGACCAGAAGCAGACTTCTTCATGAGAAAAAGTTTGTTTACTCTAAGCTATGTAGTCAGGAAGGTTTTTCATTCCTTTTAGGAAAAGATTTTTAGAAAAAAAAACCCTAGAAAATGAAAAGCTTTAGGTTTGGATCTTGGTGTGCTCAGAATAATTAAGCCAGTGAGACCTTCTTATTTTTTGAATTAGTGGAAATGATTGTGCTTCGAACTTTGTGGAAGCAGGAAGAATAGTGGGGAAATAAGGAAATTAGTTACTTTCTCCTTTTAAGGGTGAGTGGATATTTAGTCAGCAACCTGTTTCTAAAGTTAATGACTTTACTATTCAGATTTGGAAAAATAGAAAACATACTGTCATGTATCTAATTATGTGAATTCTCCCCTCTTTTCTAGGAGGTGTGATTGCCTATATCAGTTCTTCCAGCTCAGCCTCTAGCCCTGCCTCTTGTCACAGTGAGGGTTCTGAGAACAGTTTCCAGTCCTCCTCCTCCTCTGTTCCATCTTCTCCAAATAGCTCAAATTCTGATAACAATGGTAATCCCAAAAATGGTGATCTCTCCAATATTGATGGCATCCTGAAGAATGATCGAATAGATTGTTCTATGAAAACAAGCAAATCGAGTGCACCTGGGATGACAAAGAGTCATAGTGGAGTGACAAGTAAGTTACTTTAGTTTTCAAAGGTTGGTGCCTTAATTGCAGGTGGGGTTTATTTTATCAGTTTTTCATTTGGGTGTCATTTCACCCCCTTTTGGGTAATCATAGTTTAGTAGTTAGGTAAGAAATCAGTGATGATTTTGAAAGTTACAGCCTAGGGGTTGTCATAATTGGTTCTTGCCATGGAGCAAGATACATGATATGCACTCTGCCTGCCCATGTTTCCTTTAGGGTATCCCCTTTTACCACATTTTCACAGTTGCCTTTCTTCTGGACTCTTGGTACTGAATCTGGTTTCTGAAACAGAGTACTTGTTATGGGAAGGGGTTTGCTTTCATGCAGTTGGAGCTGGGAACATTTGGGATTAGAAAACAAAGCAGCACTGGGATAACTAAATGAGTGGTGGAATTTGGACCCCTGAGTGAGTGTGGAGGTAAGACTGGCTGATACAGGGGGGAATGGTGCCTGTAGGTAAATTGAACTGAGTATCATACAGCAGCCTGTGGAGACATCTGTTCACACCTCTGTTGATTGACTCTTTTATCTGACTTCTTAATTCTTATTGAGGAAAATTGTTTTTAGTTCTGGTTGCATCTATATGGTGTAAAGAAACTCTAGATTTATAGAATTTCAGTGTATGTTTAAAATCATCAGGCTCTCATAGATATTTTTGGCAGTCCCATAAACTGTGTTTAAAAGAAAACTAAGATTTCTTTGGATTTGTTAATTTGGTGTAAAGATTTTTCTTTCCCATTGTAAAAGTAAATATGAAATATGTATCTTTTGAAAGTACTTAAAAGTTGAATAAAATAAATTGAAATCAGTTGGAAAGAAAACAGTTGAAGTTTTTCTTCCAGCTTTACACTTTTGTGTCTGTTTGTGTCTTAGAATTTAGTGGCATGGTTCTACTGTGTAAAGTCTGTGGGGATGTGGCATCAGGATTCCACTATGGAGTTCATGCTTGTGAAGGCTGTAAGGTAAGCTACTGATTCTGGGGTTAAAGAAATTGGAGTTAGCCTTTCCAATTTCCACAATTGATAACCTGGGAGGATGAGAGAAGTCAGCAGCTACTCTTAAAGTTTTAAGCATTTTATGTAGTATATAAATGTAACTTGTTTTAAAAAATATATTTTTATTCTTTATTTTTTAAAGATTTTATTTATTTATTTGACAGAGAGAGACACAGCGAGAGAGGGAACACAAGCAGGGGGAGAGGGAGAGGGAGAAGCAGGCTTACTGCCGAGTAGGGAGCCTGATGCAGGGCTCAATCCCAGGACCCTGGGATCATGACCTGAGCCGAAGGCAGACGCTTAACAACTGAGCCACCCAGGCACTTCGAAAAAGATATTTTTAATTCAGTGAAAATATTTCTTTTTTCTTTAAGATTTTGATCAGAATAAATTTGCTATCTCACTCAAACTTAATTATGGTATGAAACCAAGTGCACAGATGATTATTCATTAATGCATCAGGCACTATTCCAGGTGGTCGGGAAATAGCAGGGAGCAAAACAGACAAGGCACTGCTGCCTTGTTGGAACTTAGTTTAAACCAAACTTTGAATAGGTCTTCTCAGATATGTTGACGTTCTGATATGTCAGATATTCGGAGTCGGGAATAATTCCTACATACTTGTAAAAATGTGGTATCTTCAGAAGTAGTGCCAAGTGAGTAAAAGAATCTTGAATATAAATTGAACACTTGGGAAACCTCATTTTATTTTTAAGGTTCGTTGAATATTTCTTGGTTAGAGGGTCAGCTAATTCCAAGTGAGATAGTCTATACCTCCTACTTATATCCAGGGAGTCTCTCTCTCTTTTTTAAAAATCTGACAAAACTATTTCTCCTGAGTATCAAAAATTAATATGGCCAAGACATTTGCTCTTGCTGTTTTCTCACTGAAAGCCAGGAGCAGGAATCCAGCTTGGCAAGATATGATGGGTGAGCAAGATAAAGAATATACATGATGGAAGAAGAAATATTTTCTAGGGTAGCTCTGAATAAATTGTGAGTTTTGTAGCTCTTAATGGCTGGGTCACTTCACAAGACTAGTCAGTATTTAATATAGAAGTAGCACTTTTCCACTGTATAAAAAATTCTGTACTGTTTTACTCATTTTTTTTTTTAATAAGAATGTGAAATAATTGTAGAGCAGGCATCATTCTCAGTTTATTGCTAAAGAAACAAAAGCACAAGCAAATGAGCCTAATTGTGTATCCTTGGTAAATACACATAATTGTTCTATACCTTCTTAGAGATATGTCTAGTTCATATATTTTTGTGTTCAAGTATAATACTGCAGTAATAAAATTTAAAAATACTGTATTTCAAAATTACACAGATTCATGAAATGTGTGGTTAGTTATGATATTCAGGGAAACTGCAATTTAAAATTTTGGTAATTATGTCCTTGACTTTTCTGTTCTTCTGAGACCATGAAGCTGGATCTCTTTAAAGACCCATCACAGAGCACATGCTTAAGTTGTTTGTATAGCAAAGGCAGTTATTTGTAGTCATCTAGCTGGGGACTGTCTTTCCTTGGATTGCTAGCAGCTCTGCGGGTGTGTGGCGTCACACGTACCTGTTGCTGACAAAGTAGCCAGGAATGTCTGGCACATGCAAGTAGACCTTGCTGGTGTCAGCAGGTGATGATGCAGGAAAGACCAAGCTCTTCTAATGGAGTCCTTGGTTCTAGTGAGGGAATTATAGCTATGGAACACATTTCACTGTCAACTCTTTAAAAATCAGTCATTCGTATTTCAAGAGTTTTGGGATTTGTATGTGATTAAAGTTTGGGCTGGAAAGTGTGGCTGCAGGCAGGGGCAGGTAACAGGGTAAAGCGTGGTAAAGGGGTGCTTGGCAAGCTCCAAGATTCTGCAAAGGGAAGAAGGGGAAGAAGAGTTTGTTTGGCTAGGAGGCGTAGGCGCTTACTAACAACAGTAAGAATCTAGTTAAATTGTGTGTCATGTTATATATCCCTGTGTTCTAAGCCAAAATTATTTCCCAGATAGCTAGTAAAATACTTGATAGTCAGTTGTGGAGGGAGTGCTTACAAGGATTTCATCTGGATGTTTTTAAATGGCTGAGTACATCTTCCTTTGTTCTTAGGGTTTCTTTCGGAGAAGTATTCAGCAAAACATTCAGTACAAGAAGTGCCTGAAGAATGAAAACTGTTCTATAATGAGAATGAATAGAAACAGATGTCAGCAGTGTCGCTTCAAAAAGTGTCTGTCTGTTGGAATGTCGAGAGATGGTATGTTCCCACTTGAACGAGCACTCTTCTTTTTGAAACATATGGAGCTAGGCTTTTATTCCTCAGCATAAACCAGACCTATAGGCCAGTTACCAGTGGCCTTCTTGTGCTTAGAGTGAAGCAGATTTTAGAAAACACATTTTGATGCCTTGTAAGATGCCAAATTCATTAAAGTTAAAGTTTAGTGTTACCACCCTGGAAAAATAGCTTTTGGCTCTCTTTTGGGGCTTCTTGTAAAACCGCCCCCCCCACCCCCCCTGCTTTTTTAGTATACAGTTTGAATACTTTTTTTCCTAAAACAAGAATTCATTTCCCTTCCCTTCCCTCCCTTTCTCTCTCTTTTTTTTGGGGGGAGGTGAGTAAAGGGGGCTGGGGAGAGAGAGAGAAAGAGAGAATCTTAAGCAGGCTCCATGCCCAGTGTGGAGCCCAATGCAGAGCTCGATCCCCCGACCCCCAGATCACGACCTGAGCCAAAATCAAGAGTTGGAGGCTTGACCTACTGAATCACCCAGGTGCCCCTCTTTTTTTTTTTTTCCCCCCTGTATAGGAATCCTTGGCTCTTTCTCCTTGATTTCTTAACATTTCTTAGGAACCCTTTCTCCTGTGTGAATTATCTCTGTGACTTTCTCAGCTCTGAGATGATAATGTGCCTTTAGGGCACAGGTTCTGAGATACAAAATTGAAAGAAACAGTAGGGTCTGGAGTGGAGGTGGTTGCTAAATTCTGGCATGATCCATTCCCATAAAAAATAAAAGTTAATTTGCGGTACTATTAGTATTTTCTGTGGATGATATCACTGGAAAATTTGACTCTTCTATCATGCTTATGGAAGTCACTTTTGGATAGTCTCATTTAGTTCTAAGTAACAGAAGAGTATGAGGTTTTCAGAGGGATTAGTTTAGTAGGATTAATTAAGAGTTGTTAAGAATGAACCTGATATTTATCTAGGGAAGCGTCACTTAAGCAGTCCCTTAAGTTACTCTAATATAGTACACAAATACTGTTGTAATAGAGCTTCTTGAGTAATGGATTTCAGCGGTTGATGTTTTAGATTTCATTTGCCTGAAAATTTTTTTTATATTACTAGAAATACTGATCCAAAGTTGGTGGATATTGTGATTTCCTCAAAAGAACAAAAATGGCAATCATTTGTGAAGGAAGGAGTAGAGATAGAGTGAAACATGATAAAATTGCCCATGATAGCAATAATATCAGAGGCTACAATTAGATTAGGAAGGCGTTCTTGCTGGGTGGGTATATGGGATTTTTATTATCCCCGTATAAATGTTAGACTAGAAAGCTTTTCTTTTCTGTCCCTCAGGGATAGGAATGTTGGAGACAGAACACATTCTAAAACTTGGCCTCTAAAATAGTGGAGGATGAATGATTTAATTTTTGTTTCATTGATTTTAATTAAAATCCAGCAAATTTTCAATAACTACATTTCTATTGACTGTGTTTTTTTTTTAATTAAAAAATTTTTTAAAAAGATTTTCTTTTTTAAGAAGCTGGAAAAAGAGCAAATCATTTAATAGTTGGGTCTTGAGAATAGGGTTACAAAAATGAATTGACAAAGGTTAGATGTTCAGGGAGTGCTTGTACCTACTAGGTTCCATTAACATTAATGGCTATGGGTAGCTGAATCCCATGTGCCTTCTTAAGAACCCAGCCTTCAGCCTTGTTAATAGGTGCTGTGTAGTAATGCTGATCTGTTTCAAACTATGATTTTTACTAGTTAATTTCAAATTTTTAAAACTTTGCTTCTAAAATACCCAAGACATAGATCTTCTCTTAGCTTTGTTTTGGGAGAAAAATGAAAAATTTTTCTCCTTTTCACTTCCTATGTACATCAAAAATATAGCCAGCAAATTTAGAATACTTTGGGCCAGAGACATACAGATATTTTTTATTTGTATCACTAGAGGCCATAGTTAACAGAGATAATTTGGTGCTATTCATTTGTATAAACAGCTCTTACTTAGAATATAGATGTTAAAATATCTTTTTCTTCAATAGCTGTTCGGTTTGGTCGCATTCCTAAGCGTGAAAAACAGAGGATGCTAATTGAAATGCAGAGTGCGATGAAGACCATGATGAACAGCCAGTTCAGTGGTCATTTGCAGAATGACACATTAGAACATCATGAACAGACAGCCTTACCAGCCCAGGAACAGCTGCGACCCAAGCCCCAGCTGGAACAAGAAAACATCAAAAGCTCTTCTCCCTCTTCTGATTTTGCAAAGGATGAAGTGATTGGCATGGTGACCAGGGCGCACAAGGATACCTTTATGTATAATCAAGAGCAACGAGAAAACTCAGCAGAGACCATGCAGCCTCAGAGAGAACGAATTCCCAAGAGCATGGAGCAATATAATTTAAATCATGACCATTGTGGCAGTGGGCTTAGCAACCATTTTCCATGTAGTGAGAGCCAGCAGCACCTCAATGGACAGTACAAAGGGAGGAACATAATGCATTACCCAAATGGGCATGCCATTTGTATTGCAAATGGACATTGTATGAACTTCTCCAATGCTTATACTCAACGAGTATGTGATAGAGTTTCGATAGATGGATTTTCTCAGAATGAGAACAAGAATAGTTACCTGTGCAACACTGGAGGGAGAATGCATCTGGTATAGTGAAATCGATTTTTTTGCCCAACTTGCCTCAAGGATGGCTTTTGAAGGTTTTCTTTTATTTGGGGGCAGTATACCAACTTCAGGGGCAGGGGTGGTGTCAAAACTTGAGACTTACAGAATCAGTTTTGTGCAATATTTTAAGTTAAATACTTCTAATAACATCATTTGTTGATTGACCTAATTCACACAGAACTAGGTAAAAACATATGATTTGATTGATATTATGGTTGGGATTAGGATTTTATATAAAATATGGATCATGTAGAATTGGTCCTTTAATTCTTAGAAATCCCTTTCAAAATTTAAGCATTCTGATTAATCACTATCTTACTAGCTTTGGGATTTTCTCAAAGGGCTGATCATTTAGTTTGCCACAGTTAGTAATCCTTTGATTTCTATGGAAAGTGTTTTCTTTAACCATTATAATGCAAAAAGGTCTTTGAATATAGAACATTGATAGATGTTTTACTGTTTGAGAATTTAGGAATATTTTAATACGCTGGTTTATAAGGATTTTCTCAGACTTCATCTTATGAGATGAGTTAATGTTATTCAAGTTTTTTTTTTTTTAATCAAATACAACAGTCTACATGAAAGTACAGTGTTTATGTTCAGCCAAAATTTCATCAAAAACAGCAGTACTGCACCATTTCCAGTATAAACCATGAGGTCCTTTGATAGTGCTTGGTATTTTCTACATCCAGGTAATTAAAGTCTTCTTTTTTCATTTTCAAAATAGCTGACTCTACCCCAATTCTTTTGTTGTTTTTTTTTTTGTCACTTGCAAGGATTTGATTCCATGGGTCTGAAAGGTGACCTTATATTTTATTAGACTTAGTGGCTGCCTTAAGGAGGGAAAAAATCTGTAAGCATTTAGGTTCTAATTTTGTGGTATTCTCCATGGTTATAGAATCATCCCATTCCTGGATCTCCTATGGATTTAGTGAAAATTTAAAGGCGATTTTACTAATAGAATATACAGTGAATGTTCATAATCTTTTTAGTGTTCTTATACCTTCTTTGGCTTCCTGGTTTTTCCTCACCAATCCTTATGTAAAAGCTGCCCCTTGTATCTCCCATCATTGTTTCCTAATTGAACAAGTGGAGGCCAGTAGTCACACCACTGTTTATGAAATAAATGGTTAATGACCTTTTTAAAAAAGTGAGGCATCTCACTGTCCTTTGAAATTATAATACTGTAATTGTGCCATTTGGAAAAAAGTGAGTTTTGAAATATTAACTAAATATTGAGTTCTAGGCCTGTGACTTCTAGCTGTATTTAGATAAACTTCTTAGAATCTCATTTCCTTATCTAAGAAATAGTAACTGTAATATCTGCCACAACTAATGAATATAGGATTGACAATGAAGTATGTATGAATTTGTTTGAAAATCTCAAAACCAGCATCAGGTGGCAGCAGTGTTTAAAAACAAAAACAAAAACTCTTAAACCCATGCCATAGGTTTTTGAAATAGCTTAGCCTACCTCTTTTATGATGCGTTAATTGCTGTTCAGACTAGGTTGCCGTGAGGCTTTCTAACGTAAGGCAAGTAGCAAGAAGAGAAAGTGTTACTATTAGTAGATTTTACCTGTGTCTGAGAGTTATTTTCACATTGGGGTTTCCAATGATCGAGATACCACTTTTGAAGTTTCTTTACCATCTCTCACAATTTAAGAGTTTTTCTGTTTTGTGCATGCTAGGTTTGTCCAATGAGTAAGTCTCCATATGTGGATCCTCATAAATCTGGTCATGAAATCTGGGAAGAATTTTCAATGAGCTTCACCCCAGCAGTGAAAGAAGTGGTGGAATTTGCAAAACGTATTCCTGGATTCAGAGATCTCTCTCAGCATGACCAGGTCAACCTTTTGAAGGCTGGGACTTTTGAGGTAGGTTTTATTTATCTAGAATATCGATGCAGGGTGGGTGTAGTATTTTATTTTCATGTATCGTTTCATTCTTTTCTAAAGAAGTATTTATAGTCCAGAGGCTGAAATTACCAACAAAAGAATAACCATCTCAGAATCTTGGGAAGAAATGAGATAAATCCAGAGATTCTTAGGACTTGAAATACAACTGCTCTGTGTTCTCAGCATACAGACTTCCTCCAGGTTCTAGTATTATTTTCAGGTGAGGACCGCAGGCAGGGTCTGAAAGCCTAGCCTGGTGTTTCAGTACAGAGTACAAAGAGTAAATAGAATGTGGTTTTTCTCTTTAAGGAGATTGTAGAATATTTCGGGGTTATGTGAGACGTGTCTTACGTGCTACTTTAGACTCTGTTGGCTTCACCTCATCCAGAATCCTTGCTACTTTTTTTCCTCTGGCTTCTCTTGCTGTGATGCATTCTGCCTGGACTTGGGGCAGCTACTGTTGCTAACCTGAGTAGGACACAGAGTGCCTGTCTCTGTGCTGTGTTAGGTGCCTCCCACCTATCTTCCCCAGGGCTTCCCTGGTGCTGCTGAAGTGTGAGGAGCCTCAGGACTTGCTCAGAGCTCACTTAAACATTATTCTGAAATGCAGCGTGGTGGGTGGAAGTTGGTGTCTAGTGGGCCACGTCTTAGATCAGTGGGGGACGGGAATCGGGATATATTTTCACTTTTCCCTGCTGGTCCCACAGACTGAGCTCTCAGTTGTTAATGATACTGAGTGGGGCTAGCTCAGTAATTCTTCCTCTGATAATTTGCTGTCATCCCTTCCCAGTCTCATTTCCTTTTTCCTCAAACCTGTTCTCACATATGGTACTGCACATTCTGCATAAACTTTTGCCTTATGCTCTGTTTACGGGGGCACCTGGACCAGAATGGAGAAGGAGCCATATTCATAAATAAAATACCTATGGTATAATTTAAAAGTAAAGCTGTTAGGTTAGGATTTTCAATGTAAAGGAAAACATTAGAGGTAAGATTTAAACTCTAAATCTTAAGAGGGGTGTCAGTGATCAAGTTCAGTTCGTCCATTTTTTGAGGTTAAGTAATTGTGGTCCAGAGAGGTGAAGAGATTTTTCTGGGATTACCAATAAATTTCTGACAGAGGACCATAACACAAATCCCAGACTCTAGCACTTGTGTTCTTTCCACCTTGTGATTTGTGTTGGGATTGCTGTGTTCTAGTTAGTGCCATCTTCATAGAAGGCTCACTCTCTTTGGATTGTCTTGAATAAAACAAGTCTTTGGGAAAATTGCAAAGGGGAGGTGTTTGTTCAGTATTCCTCTGGTTATGAGAGAAGTATGTGACCTAGGTGTTGCCATTTACTCTAGGAGGGGAGTGCTGTAGATAAGCAGTTGTTGACTGATTTGGTTTGGATTTGAAATACAACTTGGTGTCTGGAACACTTCTACTGTAATAGTTTCCTTTGTATATTGTCTCTTTGGGTTATGGTTTTTTAAAATAGTCTAATTAGAGTTTACCCGCTGCATTTGCCTTGGCTGCATTTGGTGTTTTGATGTCTCTAAGTGTTGTTGCATTGAAATACTGCTCTTTTTACTTTATGGTTTAGAGACCATGTGGTATACTTGGTAGCTTAAAGAGTTTCTTAACGACTGAGCCACCCAGGCGCCCCCTTAAAGAGTTTCTTTAATGCCTTTGGCCAAGGCCCAGTTTCAGATTTCTTGGCATTATTGCCTGCTTTAATTTTATATTTGCTTTTCAGAATCTTTATTAATAGAGTTTCAGAGTATCATAGGACTCAAGTATTTTGCCACTGGTGGCTGGAATTTTTTTGATGTTCTTGGGATATTTATTGTTTTGGTAGAGAATTTGCCTTAAGGAAATGGCTCTGGGTAAAAATAAACTTGGTTTTTCTTTTACAACTTTCTTTTATATGTAGGATGTTTCTTAATTGACTTGAATACTGAATATTGTCTTAGTATTAGTACTGAACTCTTTCAAATACATTTAAGTCTTTTTTTTTTTCTTTCCAGGTTTTAATGGTACGGTTTGCGTCGTTGTTTGACGCAAAGGAGCGTACGGTCACCTTTTTAAGTGGAAAGAAATACAGTGTCGATGATTTACACTCAATGGGAGCAGGGGATCTGCTAAACTCTATGTTTGAATTTAGTGAGAAGCTAAATGCCCTCCAACTTAGTGATGAAGAGATGAGTTTGTTTACAGCTGTTGTCCTGGTATCTGCAGGTAAGCAGGCTGGTTCAAAATTGTGCCGCACCCAGAATACAGTTACCAAGTGGGGAGAAGGTGGAACTATGTTCCAGCAAGCTATTTATAAGGCGAGAGGGCCTTAAGCAGATGCTGGACTGTGTGAATCTGTTATTTTTGCATAATTAGACAGTAAAAATTCAAAAAGTGCTGTATAGTAATAAAATGATGTTTAGATCTAGGCCTCACATTGACCACAAGTCTTAGTCTTTAAACTTCTGCTCATAATTTTTACAAGTCTAAATTGTTATTTTTGTGGATTTAATTTTTGGAACATTAAGTGGTTCTGATACGAATTTAAGTTTTAATTAAAATGTGTATTACTTGAAAATGTTAAAATTATCAAGATATATTAGTGTGGTTTGTTCCAAAAATTGGTGAATTACGAGTAGGCTTTTACCCAGCTTTGCCACTGAATTTTCTGTGTGACTTGTGTAAATAATTCTGTTCTTTTGGGTCTTGGTTTCCTTATCCTGTGGAAGGAAGGGATTGTACCATGTGAGCCAGCCTGGGGTCTGGCACAGAATAGGTACTTAGTTACTGTTTGAATGAGTGACAGAGATTTTTGAGTCCTAACATTTAATGTTTATTTATATGAGTCATTGATGATGTTTTCCAATTTCCCTGCCACCTTGCATTATAGCTATTTCTGGCCAACATTTCAATTTAGATAATTGCTATTAAGATAATAGCAAATGGGAAATTGATACACAGTGACTTTCCTGGGGATATATAAGTAAGTACCAGCCATTTTTAGGTATCACTAACTTTATTTTAATACATTTGTTGAGAATTTTACAGTATTTTGATATGACTTACTTTAAGTTGCCTATTTGCTTCCTACTGTGTAAAAGCCATTGTACCAGGTACTGTGGGGGTTATAAAATATAAGTTATAACCCCTGCTTATGTGGCTAAACTGTAAATCAGTAACTCCTATAAGTTTTTTGTATATCTTAAAGGACCTGTACATCAGTGGTATAAATAAAGACTTATGTCATTTGGAAGCATAACTTGGCTACCTATTCTGATCATCTCTACCTAGGTAACTAAAAATGCACTTATGATATGGAATAGTATGAAAGTTAACAGGTTAATAAGGGATACCTATTTTCTTAGTAACCTTGTAATTAATGCCTCTTGCACTTTACCTACCATTTTGCATTCTCTTGATAAGTAATCATTAATGGTTTGAGTTGACATCAGATTAATCTATTATTGTGAAACTAAAGGTAATCCATACTTGTTAATTTCTTTATCTGATCAATATGTGCGAGGGGGGAGACAACAAGCATTAAGACACAAGCTTGTTCTCCAAGCATTTATGTTTTATTTGGAGAGACAGAAATAACACAAAAAGCTTTATGGTATTAAGCCATGTGGTTCTGACTGAGGAAGTAGGGGTTCTAGGAAGGAAATTACCTGAGAAAGCTTTGTGGGGAAGACGGAAGTAGAGCTGGAATTTGAAGGATGGGTTAGTAGATTTTCCCATCAAAACAGTGATGGAGCAACTTGGGAGAGCATGAGGTAGAGTAGGGGCAGGTGGCTAAAGCCCAAAGTGTACATCAAGGAGGAAAGGGACAGAAGGCTTATGAGTTGAAGGGGCACCAGGTTACGGAATGACTTCGAGGAGAACTAAGCAGAGAAGTTTTAAATGAAATATGGGGCAGTGGAAAGTCAGTGTAGGGGAATGATGAGGCATAACAAAGTGATGGTCTGATATTAGAATTTCTGCATGTTTATCTTAGGCAGATTAGACAAGTGATTAGAGCTGGAGAGTCAGATTGAGAGGCTGTTTAACCTCAGGTAGGAGGCAGTGGAGTGAACTCTCCTGAGATAGGTGTAGTAGAGGAGGTGAAGCAGGAGGGACTGTGTCAGAGATGGTGAAAAGGAAGAAATGGTGGCAGGGGATAAGGAGGAGCTCTGTACCAGGAAATGTGCTATTTATTTATATTTTCTACCAAGTGAACATAATTTTATTTTGTTTTAATCTCCTTTTGAAAAAGCCTTGTTTACTGATCATAAGAAGAATATGGGTTTTTTGCAAAAGTAGAAAATACTAAGATGAACATAAAGATGATAATATTGCTACCAAAAAAGATCACTGTCAACATTAGGGGGTCTCTATCTGTTCACCTGTCCATCCATGTACCATTTGCCTGCTTACTGATTTATGGTACATAAAAAAATACTTGACATACCAAGTGGAAAAGATTGATTATAGAAGAATATAATGCATTCTTATTTTTGTTCTGTCTGTCTATATGAAGGTATACAAGCAACACATACACGTGCACAGTTTCATGCATTTTAAAATAGTACGTTGCTTTCACTTAAACATATGATAGTGTTCATGTCAAACTTAAATCTTCACCACCTAAAAAGGACTATAGTTATTTTTAAAACAGTATCTGTATAGGAAAATAATATTCAGAAATTATAGAGGAGGATAAAAGTCTCTCCTTCCTTCTCCCAGCCTACTCTTCAGAGAACTAGAATTCTAACCATCTTTCTTCTTAATTGTTCTGACAGTTGCCCACTCACTTCTAAATACTGTGTTTATACCTCTTTTTATTGAGTAGATATAACTGACAAAAGTATCTTCTTTTTATAAGTTTTATTTTTATGTTGCTTTGTTTTATATAAAATTGTAATATGCTCGCATTCTTTGACTCTTCATTTTTACATAATCTCTCAGATAGTTTAGATTGAATCTTCTCCTTAGACAGGAAGACAGTATCCTTCTTCCATATCCTGGCTTCTTTTGCTATGCCATTTCTTTTACATTGTCAAGAATGAAAATATTTACATTATGTTCTATAGGTGTGATTAGTTTCCATGCTTTATCAGATGATTCTAAATATTGAAAAGTAAAAAATATTCATTTACAGTATTAGGATTATGTAAATAGTACAGTGTTCACATAGCGGGGTTGAAATGGTAGACAAGGTAATAATAAATTTTTTTTTTTTAATTTTATTTGAGAGAGAAAGACAGCATGAGCAGTGGAAGGGGGGGCAGAGGAAGAGTGAGGGGGACAAGCAGACTTCCTGCTGAGCGAGGAACCTGACAACGTGACAATGTGGGCGATCCCAGGACCCTGAGATCATGACCTGAGCTGAAGGCAGATGCCTAACTGACTGAGCCATCTAGGCGCCCCAAGGCAGTATAAATCTTGCCCTAAACCTGTGCCTCCCAAGGGGGAATGTTCCAAGTATCAGATAACAAATGGATTATTTATATTCTCTGTTAATTGCTTAGAATTAAGCAACCATTATATTTGCTTTATATTTAAAGTAACTTTTTGTTTTTCTTGGAATCTACAGTTACCATCTGGGTTTTGTTTTGGTGGTTGTCAGAAAAAGTGCTAGTTAGTTTCTAGATCTCATTATATAATTTTATCCTTACAACAGACCTCTGATGTGAGCTAGGATATGTTATTCTCAAATACAGGCTAGAAATTTGAGGAACAGAAGGATTAATATGCTCAAGATTGTGCATTTTAAAAAATTGGCTGAGCATGCATTTGAACTGTTAGTCTAGCTTCACAGCCTTTCTGCTATACTGCTTGTTAACAGAATAGCTCTAGCTGCTAAGGTAGAGAGAATCTCAGACATGATGTTTGCCTGTGAGGTTAGAAGACTCTTGATATCATGGAGAAAAAGGGAATTATACCTGGAAGGTAAATTCTTCTTTAGATTGTGTGAAATGGCAGCAGTCACTTGCAGTTGAGGATTAGGGACAGGCATATAGGTGTGAGAACAAAGTTCATCTGGATATGGATTTTACTTGTCCTCATAGAGGTTTTTGTGGAAGGAATTTGACTTCCATCTTGTGTATGTTCATAGAGAGGAGATTTGGTGAGATTTGGTGGTGAGGGATGAAGAACTTCTCTAAGCTTGAGGAAGCAGAGGACAGGTATATTGTGAATTAAAACTATACTATAAACTATAAAGTAAGTAGGGTAGCATTTAATACACCATTTAGAAGATTAATTTTCATTTCAATCTGTACATTCTATTGTTACAGTTTCTAGAGGATTATTGTTTATGATCCAGCTAGATTTGTAGGTAGGTTATTTGGCCTTGAAATCATGAAATCATGGTTTTAGAAATTGCGATTTTAGAAAAATTTACATTTTTAGGTATAAGAATCCATTTTCCTAAAGTTGTGAGTTGTATAGAAGAAGCATAGGTCTTTCCAACACAGAGTATTCACTGAAAGACTCAAAATACTAGTTCCAACTCAGGTATCCTTCTCTGCTTATCTAGATTATTTTGTTTGTAGGGCTCACTGTCATTCTTTTCCCGGTTGTTGGTATTGTAAATTACTGATGATATGATTCAAACCAGGCATTTTCTTCTGCTAGAAGAGCTCTCTCAGGGAAGGAGTTTTGGTTGGTTATGTTGACTGCTAATTCCCTAGCACCTATCCCATATGTAGCCATAGACATTCAGTAAGTGTTTGGTGAGGGAATTAATAAATTGCAAGGATGTTGAGGAAAACAATTACTTGATTGAAAGCAAGGGAGACTCTTGGAAGCATTATTGACGACTTATTTAAGTAGTTTTATATGGCCCTTATGATTGTATGACCACAGTCAAATGTTAAGAGGTCTTTTGTCCATGTAACAATTTTGTCTGAAAGCATATGACCCCCCAAACCAATAGTCAACATTCAAATTGTTTGTTTTTCTGTAATAATTAGCACATAGTTGAATAATAATCCACATTTTATTAAATGTAAGATAAACCAGTTTTCATCATTTTTTTCTGCATTTAGAGTTAAACTTTTCCCTTTACTATGAAATTTTACTGTTTGCATTGCAAGTGGCCTTTTTAGCTACCAGTTACAATGCAGAGCATAAATACCCTTGTGAATAATGAATAAAAAGGGTGTGAATGGCCAGAGATTTTTACTTCCTTCGCAGTATCTTTCTTACTAATTACACCTCCCTATACTAGGATCCATTGAGTATTTCTTGTGCTCTACTGCCTCCTATTGTAAAGGGAAGAAATAGCCCTTGATGATTAAAAAAAAAAAAGTCCATGGGCAAACAGCATTAATTTTAAGATACTTTCCGGGGCACCTGGGTGGCTCAGATGGTTAAGCGTCTGCCTTCGGCTCAGGTCATGATCTCGGGGTCCTGGGATCGAGTCCCGCATCGGACTCCCTGCTCTTTGGGAGCCTGCTTCTCCCTCTGCCTTTCTCTCTCTCTCTGTCTCTCATGAATAAGTAAATAAAATTAAAACAAAATAAAAATAAAAATTTTAAGATACTTTCCTTTAATGCTGGCTTATACTACATTACTAGTTTATTAACATTTTGTATGACGAGCTTAATAAACACGGTATGTTAAATGGAAATGAATGCAGGTTAATATAACTAGGTAATAAAGTTGCATAGTGTATTAGTTATCTATTACTGCATAACAAATTACCTTAAAACTTACTGGCTTAAAAATGCAAATATTTATTATCTCACAGTTTCTGAGGATTAGGAATATGGGTAATGGCTTAGATGGGTGCCTCTGGCTCAAGGTTTCTTGGGAGATTGTAGTCAAACTGTGAGCAGGGCTGTGGTCGACTATGAAGGCTCAGCTAAGGAAGGATCTGCTTCTAGGCTTATTCATGTGGTTGTGGCAGGAGTTATTTCCTTGCAGGATGTTGGACTGAGTGGCTCAGTTCTTTGCTGGCTGTTGGCTTGAGACAACCGTCATTTCCTTAGCATATGGGCCACCTCATAGGCAGCTTGCATCATGGCACCTGGCATCTGGCTTTTCTCAGAGGAAGTATGTCGAATATGGAAGCCATTTTTTTTTTTTTTGTAATCTAATATTTTATTCATCAGTAGTGAGCCAGTAAGTCTAGCCCACTCAAGGGAAAAGGGATACACAAGGGTGTGGATACCAGGATGAGGTTGCCATTTTAGAGATTGCCTGCCATACATGGTAACATACAAATGTGGATGTATTCCATATGAAGAAAAAAATATATTTGTAAACTACAGTATTCATTTTATTTTGTCAGGAGCAGTTGAAATTAGCAGATGGCATCTAATTTTAAAAATCAGAACCTCTAGTTTTGTGAACAAAATACTAAAGAATTTTGATTTATCAAGTGTACTGTGTGGTATCTCTTTATAATATAACAAACAGGTACAGAAATTTGCCATTGGGATTTAAAAAATGTTGTCAACTATCTTTTGCCTTCATTCCAATGTATAAAACCTTGTTTTGGATTCATTAATGAGATTTATGAGCAAGAATTATATTTATATTTAATGTTTTCTCTTTATATTTAATGTTAATAACATGTCCTCTTATTCATGTCTGTCTATTCATTACTCTCTTTTAGATCGATCTGGAATAGAAAACGTCAACTCTGTGGAGGCTTTGCAGGAAACTCTCATCCGCGCACTAAGGACCTTAATAATGAAAAACCATCCAAACGAGGCCTCTATTTTTACAAAACTTCTTCTGAAGTTGCCAGATCTTCGATCTTTAAACAACATGCACTCTGAGGAGCTCTTGGCCTTTAAAGTTCACCCCTAAGGCCTTTGTTTATTTAAACATGAACTGATTCATGCTAACTGTACCTTTTGTGCTAAAATGCTTATTTATATGTGTATACCATATGTGGAGATAGAAAAGACCTTTAAGACAACACAAGATTGTAGGCTATCTCTGTAATCATGCAGTAGCTGTTTGGATTGAGGTTTCTCCAGCCATGGTTAGACATTGACCGCATTTCCCCTATAGACCAATCAGCTGTGTCGCACTTAAACTGGAGAAGTTACACTGAATTATAGTCACACTGAATGTTAGACTTTTTCATCTGCCAAAACCAAAAATCATTTTGATCTCCCTGTGGTATAAATATAGCGCACAATCACAAATATGTGAGAACTTAAAAATTAATCCTTTGTGGTAGAAATTCTCTTGTATGAGGAAGGCTTGATTTCACCACAAGACCATTTGATCTGGTAATTGGAGACATTGCAAGTTAGGAGATCTTCATGTCTGTATTTTGTTCTGCCGCTTGTTAAAGTGTATGATCCCGGGCAGGTTAGTTGGTTGTGGAAAATGAAAATTGATAGTGTACTTAATGCCCCACCTCACAGATACTAAAAAATGTCTATAAAGCATATTTACCTCTTGGGAGATAGGCACTATGTAAATAAGGTAAATTTTTTGTTATTATAATTATTCATAATATTCTTCCCTTATTTCTAAGTATTTCTGAGAAATCATTTCACAGTCCACACCAACCTATTATTCAGGGTTCCTGCATATGTGTGGGGTATCCTCCTGGCACACACATATTTAAAATTTATGGGTACATCAAGTATATAGTATGTACATAATATCTATGTGAATATAGTTATACATAAACACATTTCTTCACAATATTTTAAACTGTGAAGAACTTTATCATACAGTAAACTTAAAACAAGTGGTGTCAAAGACTCAAATTAGGTGCATTTTACCTGTTGATGACATAACCATTGCTTTAAATGTTTAGACAGTAGATTATTGAACTTATGCTCTATTTTTATTTAAGCAGCACTTAATGTAAAAGTACAACAGGCAGTTGAGTCCAGATTTCAAAAAATACATATTTTAGAGTTCATCTTTGGTTAAATCTTTGGTTCAAGGTACTAGTTTAAAAGTTCATTCAGATTCTTACCTTGTACTAAAAAAGGTTACATTGCTGCCCCTTATATACATGCTGCAGCTTGATAAATATTTTGATTCTTTTTGGAGAACCAATCAATGTTTTAAGAAAACTGTTTAATGTGTTGGTCCTGCGTGTGGTGTGTGTGTGTGTGTGTGTGTGTGTGTGTGAGAGAGAGTGTGTATGTATGTATGCATTTGTGTGCAAATGTGTTTTGAGTCCACTGTTTTTTTTTTCCTAAATAACACTACAGGGATTTTGTCAAATTAGATTTACTCTGTAATTTGAAAAATCATTTAGTGTGTGAGACCTACAGACTTAGAAGTGGTACAGAGACATTTCATCCACATTTCTAATATTGGGCTTTATTAAATAGAGAAGATCAGCCTCTGCTTATGGCAGTGGGAGAAATAGCCAAAGTTGAGGATTTTATGTATGTTTTTCTGTTTCCCTGGAAAATAGCAATTAATTGGAATTTTTTGGAAAAGATTGCCTTCTGTATAATTTTTGGATTATATAAAACTTTAAGAATGGAAAGAGCCCGCTTTACTATACTCAGCCTGTTACTTTAATGACATGTGAGCAGAATGCCTTATTTTGTAATCTTGTTTAACTTGTTGCTACTGGGACTTGAATTTCTGTGGCACTTGTTAAGTAAGTCAAAAAAAGAAGTTAAATCCTCTCATTATTAAAGAGGAAGGGTGATGGTGATGTCTGTCATACAGTATAAACCATAATTGTGATTTACCTTACATAGGTAAGACTTTTATGGGATATACAGTATAGTTTTTGTGAATTCTTTACGATAGCATTATCTTTTTATAATTTTTTTTCTTAAGATAAATGCATAGTTTTCTTCTATGGGGGATAGAAACGGCTTTTTGAAGTAATCCTGAAAACCTCAAAGATCATGTTTATTCTTAGTTTTTGCCTTTTGCATAAGCCTCTTTATAACATGTTATCTTTAAAACAATTACTGTCTTTAGGAAATGTGTAACCAGAACTATGTTAGTATTGCTTATAAAACTTTAGTTAGGTTCAATATATACATGTATACATCTATATATAGGTATATATAGGTTCGCATTTTGTCTTGTAAGATTTTATTTGAACAAATTCTTCCTGTAGGTAATGGGAAACAAAAATAATAGTTCATGTGCCATTTGTAGCATCTCTATATTTGAAAATAGCCCAATATTAAAACTACTAAAATTAAACCAGCAGCCTATTATAAGCACATTCTTTGATTGAGTCATTGGGTAGAAACTTAATGTGGGGAAGACAACCAGTTTGGAAAACTTCTGGGTCAGTGGGACACTGTTGATTAATTGATAATGTACTGTATGAATTAAGTGATGCTTTAACTCTGATTTTACATTTTAAATTAAAATATGGGCATTATGTCAGCAAACTTAAGGGCATTATGTTAGCAAGCTAAAACATTTTTTTTTCTGTGCTTTTAATGTATCTCTTCACATGATCTGAGAGAGGATTCAAGCTTTAGAAATAGCTGAGGGAAAGGGGAAACATCTTCTTGAGTTGAAGCTTTTCCTTAGGGCGATGGTTTAATTACAGATTAAAAAAAATTAGAAGGCAATTTCAGTGGATTAAGTGTATAGCTTTTGTATCTACATTTCAAGAAATTACCATTGTAACTTGATAAGAAATGATTTATTTTATGTAAACATCATTGCAAAGCAAGGTGTAGAAGCTCAGCTAGATTTATTACTGTGCACGAGAGTAAGTACCTATCTCAGTTATTCTTTTTCTTTTCCAATATAAAGTTTGCTGAATGTACAAGAAGAGTTTATCACTTAGGATATAGAATTTTTTTTAGGGGTTGGGGGGATGGGATCTGTCAGGAAATTGCCTATAAACAAAGATTGTCTTGATTTGATTCAAAACATAAAACTTGAAGCTATTCTTGAACTAACGTGGAAAAATAAAATGGCTATTGTTTAAAAAAAGTGATAGAAATATATTGTCAAGATATGAATTAAGTTTATTTTCTACAAACTTATTGATGAGGACATGGATAATATCTTCATGTTTCTGAAAAGTAATCTGTACATGGGGGGAGGGGATAATAAATATTATTTCTAACCAAGTGTGGTTTTTGGTATCTATCTCGGTGTTTTTTGTAAGACTCTTAATTTAATTTACTACTTTCCCCTGAGCATAGCAGTACATCTTAACCTAAATCTCTGACTCAGCATGGTGGAACGTATATATGCAGGGCTCTTTGGATTTTAGTTTGTTTAGTGAGTCCAGCAAGGGTTGTTGGGTTTTCTATAATGACAGCTGAATAGTGGTTCGCTCTATCTGGTAAGGTAATCATTCTTAGAAGGGGTTAGTGAGAGAAGAAGGGGGTGCTTGATCTAGCCAAGACTCAGCCTTGGCTATGGATGGGATAAGATGCCTCAGAAAGACCACCACCTCCTTTCCCCTTTCCCAGGGGTTGTAGCCATGGTGGCGAAGTTGAGGCCAGGTACTTAAATCTGCATTCACTACAGTTGTTTCCTAGACCAGTAATACCCACTATTCTGAGGATGATAATAGATGTTAGGTGGGAGAATTGGTCTCCTTGATTGAATAAACTTGGAAATGCTGGGTTAACAAGGTTACTGAGATGTCTTTATGTCAGTCCCATTCTCTAATGAGCAAGTGTGTATCGTGAGTTCTTTTAGGAAGGGCTTAGTGGGATGCAGTCTTTCCCAAACTTCCTCTTCCAGGTAGCGCCCCCCCACCCCTTTTTCTGTGTTGAGCACTTCTTGGGGCTCCTTGGAAGGTATGCTTTCAGGAGAAAAAACGTTAACCCACTTTGGATGTTGATCAGGATATTGATCATATTCTGTGGATTATTGTACAAATTTGTATTTTGTCCTATTTTTGCACTAGCATAGCCAAGTATAATAAACATTGAGCTCTAAATAAATGTGTGGTTGATGAAAAACAAAATAGATTAAATTCCTTTTGAATTTTGGAAGTGCTGCATGTGAGTGAATGAGTGAAGACAGCCAATTCATGGATCTGGTTTTAGTTTCACACTCATTTGGGCCTGTTAAAATTTGTCACATTTGCTTTTCTTAATTCTTGGTCTGTCTAAAGGTTTAGCAACAACTATGGCCTGTGTTCTAGTAGTCACATCAGAGTTGCTCTTCACAATGTCAAAAGTTCTGGGGTGGCTGGGTGGCTCAGTTAAGTGTCTGCCTTTGGCTCAGGTCATGATCCTGGGGTCCTGGGATTGAGCACCATGTCAGGCTCCCTGCTCTGCGGGGAGCCTGCTTCTCCCTCTCCCACTCCCCCTGCTTGTGTTCCCTCTCTCCCTGTGTCTCTCTCCGTCAAATAAATGAACTCTTTAAAAAAAAAAATTGCTTTCTATGGGGCACGTTGCCAAGAACGTAAAGATGGTCTCAAAAATCAGCATTTTAATATAAATTACTAAAGAGGGTGAGACCAGTGTTTCAAAGAAGACTCAAATACCTGGGATGAAAATGGTGTTTCAAATTTTCTTTCTCTGTTTTCCTACTGGTAATCATAGAATTGAAATGATCTTCTGAAAAGTCTGTGAGTTCTGTGTTTTTTCTTTTCTACGGTTTCATTTTTCTCTGAATTCTCCTTATCCGTAACCCCAGCAGTTCCCTCGGCTCCCCCCCATTACTTCGTTGCTTTGCTTGTAAATTTTCATCTATTCCCCCCCCCCACAACAGCCATTTCATTTCCTATTTAGGTTCTGCAGTTATATGTAAGTAGGGTAGCTTCCAAAGTGGAAAGCACCTACACTTTCATTCTCTCTTGATCATCTTGCTCCCTACAGTTAGGCTGCTCTCTAAGCTGTTTTATCTAACAGGACTTTGGAGGAATAAACTGATGGTTTAGTTATTCATTATACATTTATTGAACATAAATGTATGGCTCAAGAATTTTTTTTTTATCCAAATGCAAAATTAGTTTCCTTGAAAATGCAGGGCACTGATCCAGACAGTGTTGTGGAAGTTGTGTGCACATGAAATAAATGGCCACCAATCACAGCATCTTAAGTAGTAGTTGCCAGCAAATGCTGTTTTAGCCATGGTGTGCTGGATCCAGCTTATAAGGTCTCTTGAGGTCTCACTGTTAAATTGCCAGGAATTTATGGAGCTGGTTGTTAGAAACAGCCATTATTAAAAATTAAATTATATAAGCTTACAATTGAATTATATTTGAGAAGATACTACTCAAAACTCCTCACTTCCTAATTATCTTACATTTTACTGTTATTTATGCTTTTGAGGCTCAGTACCTTTATGGATATGGAGGCAATACTTTATAATGGTGTTCCTGCACATCTCAACTCCCTAAGTGACAGCCCATTGGTAGCTCAAAATTGGCTGTGGTAGGATTTATACTATGCAAAGCTGCAAATGCTATGAATCAGGGCTTGATGTAGTTTGTTGGTTGTCTAGATTTAAGAACGTGATGGAGAAAGTGTTAATAACACAAATTGAACTTGAAAGTGTGTCATGCCTATAGCCGTTGCAAATAGAAAAGTGACGAAATAGTCCAGTATTTGAAAACCATTACCTGATTCAGCAAAGAAGTTGCTCACATCTTTGGTGAACAAATCAAGTTCTGACATAAATTTTGTTTCATTTTTGTTTTATTAATATACTTAAAATAGCAACATTCATGTCAGAACTGTTAGTTGACTTCAGCAAAAATAAAGGAATGCATTCTGTGAAAATTAATTGGTTTTCTTGGATTTATAGTAGAGATATTTTATTTCTTATAAATACATAAATTGTGTGCTATATATCCTTTCAGTAAAAATAAATACATACACATTCATAAGGTATTTTCCCCCCCAGAGAGGTAAATGTTTACCAGCACGCCACTATTAACCCCAAGAAATAATTCTGTTTTCTAGATAAAGGAAACCAAGGCTCAGAGTGTAAGTAATTGGCTCAAGGTCAGACAGCTACTGAACGGGAGAGTTGGACTATAAACCCCAGATGTTTGGGCCAAGAGTTTACTCTCAACTTCCGCATAATAGAGAAGCACTGGGCTTGGGGTCTCCTTGGCAGAGTGGTTTTAGTAAGTCTACTTTGATCTATACATATGTAGAGCTCATGTTTATGGGATTGTTTGGAGATAGGTAAGAGGAAGCTCTTTAGTCAGGATTCAATACATAATATGAGTTTAATGTTATCCTCCAACCCTTACCTTTTTCTCTTATCTGTAAGAAGTATAAACTACTTAGAGTGATTGCAAGACTAAATGAGATGTATTTAAAAACTCTGCGGTGATGTCCTCTACAGACATGAGGTAATTGTCTTTCCTTAGGAAATGACATAAAGAAGAGAAGGGAGAGTTTCCTGGGGAGGGGGTGGGGAAAGCGAGGGCAGGGCCCTGGAGGAGGCTCTCCCTGGGTCAGTCTGTGTGGCTTGGTCTCTCACAGGCATGTTGGGGCTGACGTGAGGAGGCAGTTCCCGATTTAGGCCTTTCTCAGCGGGGTACTGCTCGAACCGTTGACTGTGGTGACCGCAACCTTCAGATACTACTGATTTCCAGTAACTTCCTCAGGAGAAGCTAACCAAGTGACAAAAGATGACCAAGTCCGTATCCCATTTCCAAGCCCTCATTCAAGAATACAGTACACCCCCTGACCAGCAGTTTGGTTTTCTGCAGTTCCAATAACCTGCCCTCAGCCCCGACCGCGACGGGAAGTAAGAGCCCAACGCTGCGTCATAGGGTGGCGACGTTCGCCTCTCGTCATCTCCTCACGTAGGCATTTTCTACCTGCTATCATCATGAGGAGAAGGGTGAGTACAGCGCCCTAAGATATTTTGAGACAGCACATTCACATCACTTTTATTACAGTATATTGTTATATTATTCTTTTTAAATTATTGTTAATCTCTTTTTGCGCCTAATTTATAAATTAAGCTTCCTCATAGGTTTGTACGTTTAGCAAAAGTCATGCTATATTTAGGGTTCGATAGTTCCGTGGTTCAGGCATCCACTAGGGGTCTTGGAAGTTATACCCCTGCAGCCAGGAGGATGCGGCTATATATAGGAAGGTCCTTAGTATTCCAGCGGATGCTATCGTTGTTCAAGGTGTACATCTGTCCCAAGGGGCAGGGATAATGGGCTCGATGCTCCTTCATAGTAAACATAACATAAATACCCTGAAAGGGTAGGAAGAATTGCCATGTCTTTGAGTTTTGAATATTCTCATCATTTATTGAGGATAGAGGATACCTTTCTAGTTGTGATTCTGCTCTTCAGTGATCTTGAGAAGATCCCTTCATCTTTTTCAGCTCCCCTCTGTGAAGTGAAGGAATTTAACTGTATGCCCTCCCTCATTCCTTCCAGGGCTAACATTTGTGATATGATGATATATAAACAGCAGAGTTAAAAAAGAAAAAACGCCAGAGAGTGAAGAATTTGTTTTGTCGGGAGTGAGGTGAGGGAAGACAAAGAAACAGTTCCTGCAGCTAAAGGTTGACCAATCACACACTTGCCTTAGCCTGGTGTGACATTGCACCCTGCTGGCCATCTGTCCACGGTTCTTGTGGTGTGACTCCCTGCTCCCTGACGCCTGCCTCACTGCTCAGTGTTCACAATATCTTTAGCTCAAAGTCACCCTAAGGTCAGGGACAGGAAGTGTGCTGGGGAGAAGAGGGATCATGTAGGAATTTCATATCCCCCAAGGTTCCCAATGCCCAGTGGAAGGGGCAACTGAAACTGGACGCACAAAGCACAAGGAACATCAGGAAGCCCCGAGCCCAGTGGCAGTGCTCTAGTAGGTCCTGAATTTTTAGGTGAAACAGTTTATGTTCAAGCTGAGCCCTTTCCTGCATGGCAGCACTTCCCAGTTTTTGGTCATAACAAAAATCTAAATTATTTATTTATTTTTAAAAAGATTTTATTTATTTATTTGTCAGAGAGAGAGAGAGAGAGCACAAGCAGGGGGAGCGGCAGGCAGAGGGAGAACAGGCCTCCTACTGAGTAGGGAGCCCGATGTGGGACTCGATCCCAGGACCCTGGGATCATGACCTTAGCCGAAGGCAGTCGCTTAACTGACTGAGCCACCCAGGCACCCCAAAAACATAAATTTTTGTAGTTG